ACAAAAGTCCGAATAGTCAAAGCTATGGTTTTTCCTGTCGTGATGTATGGAAGTGAGAGCTGGACCATAATGAAAGCTGACCGCCGAAGAATTGATGCCTTTGAATTGTGGTACTAGAGGGGGCTCTTAAGAGTCCCCTGGACTGCAAGGAGAACAAACCTATCAATTCTAAAGGAAATCAACCCTGAGTGCTCCCTGGAAAGAGAGATCCTGAAGCTGAGGCTCCTGTACTTTGCCATCTCATGAGAAGAGAACACTTCTTGGAAAAGACCCTGATGTTAGGAAAGTGTGAAGGCAAGAGGAGAAGGGGACGACAGAGGATGAGATGGCTGCATAGTGTCTGCGAGACAATCAACATGAAATTGACAGAACTCCGGGAGGCAGTGGAAGATAGGAAGGCCTGGCATGCTCTGGTCCATGGGATCACGAAGAGTCGGGCATGACTAAATGAGGAACCCAGTCTTGGATCCTGCTCCTCATTGGATTTGAGATGCTAACTTAGCCAATCAGAAGTCAGAAGAAAATATCAATTTTATGCCCTGATGTTTCTTTGACCTGTGCCCAAACTGTGCCTGAAAGTCTGTGAACCATTATTGCTGCCTTCCTCCCCTGACATTCCAATGTGACTTTGGGCAGCCCTTTTGTTATTCTAAGTGTAGCCATCTGGCCATATTTTACCACAATGTCAGTTCCTGGTGTAGGATGGGGGTTGCTTTGTTTATTTGGATGGGCCATAAATGCTTATCAGCAGTGCTATCAGCTAGGTGTGAATGGTCTTTGTTGTTCCCAGGTCTGGGTTGAGGCAAAGTTAAAACAGAATGGAGTTTGTAAAATCTAATGAATGGGACCATTTGGGAGGGCGTACATTCTAGGCATTGCAGAAATACAAAATATTGCAGGAGTACAAATATAAAGTACATTTGGGATAAGGTACATTTGTTGTGGTATAGATACATAATACAGAGTCAGGAAAGTTTTAAGGATCAGATCATACTTTTGCACTATTAAAGAGCAGGCCGGGTAGGTGGGGCTCGTCAGCCATGGAAGGCAGCCCATCTAGGAGAAGGAAAACTCCGATTTCAAACCTCCACTGCCTTGTGGCTATATCCACTCATGGAAAAGGCTTCAGGAGTTAACCTCGAGGCAAAATCCGGAGCTGGAGTCCCGAAGGCAGCATGTGTCGTTCTGCCAACTCCTGCGACATTGCTGGAACCAGTTGTATTGGCTCTTGCCTTTCCATTGGACCATTTCAGCAATGTGGAGAGGGGGGATCTGCTGCTTGGGTAACAGCCTATCCTCCATATTACCTTACCCGGGCTTCATGCTCTGGAGAGGACACTCCTCGATTCAGAGCATGTTACCATAGTCTCTCGAGACTGAAGGATGCCTATGCTATGCTATCTCCCCCTATCAGTTTCCCTTTCCCTTCTTCTGAGGTTGCCCTGGGATTGGACAGCTTGCCCAAAGCCACCCAGGCAGGATCTTCTCTTTGGAGGCACAGTGGGGAACTGAACTCTTCATCTTTGGAGGCACAGTGGGGAATTGAACTCTTCTGCTGTCCTTTCAGCACTGTCTGGAGGCTGTACTGCAATGGATGCAGGAGAATGGGTTGAGGCTGATCCTGGACAAGGCGGAGGTCCTGAGGGTGGGTGGCCCCTCCATTGGCGGCTTGGGAAACTCCCTCACTTTGGGGGGGTGACTCTCACCGCGAAGAGTGAGGTTTGCAGCTTGGGAGTACACCTGGATCCGGAGCTTACCATGGCAACCCAGGTGGCGTCAGTGGTCCACTCCACCTATTACCAGTTTATGGTGGGGCCCTCACCACTTTGGTCTATGCACTTGTAATCTCAAGATTAGACCACTGTAATGCACTCTACGTGGGGCTACCGTTGGGATTGATGCGGAAACTTCAGATGGTGCAGAATGCGGAAGCCAGACAACTTAGTGGGACGAGAAAACACCAGCATATCTCTCCGACTCTGGCTGCCTTGCATTGGCTGCCCATTCATTTCCACTGATTTCAAACTGTTAATGCTGACATATAACAGTTTTGGACCTCGATATCTAGTAGAATGCCTTCTCCCACCTAGATATACTCAGGTCACTCGCTATAGCCAGGAAAGACGGCTGAGGGGCCTAACGCCGAGGGAGGCCCGGAAAGAAAGAACTAGAGACTCGGCCTTCTCGGCAGTGGCCCCTCGACTTTGGAACAGCCTGCCATCAGAGATCCACCTGGCACCCTCGCTGGACGTTTTTAAGAGCCAATTAAAGACTTGGCTCTTTAGGCAGGCCTTCCCTCCCATCAATACTTGACATTTATTTCTTACTTAGACTTTTGGTTATATTTTCCTATCATGATTAATACTTTATTGTTGATTTAATTGTTGTTTTAACTGTTTCATGAATAATTTTATTGTAAGCCATCCTGAGTAGACGTTGTCTAGAAGGGCGGGATAAAAATCAATCAATCAAACAATCAAACAAACAAACTCCCAACCTCTGGCTCCACAGCCAGATACATAATTGACTCAGCTATTCAGATGGGGGTGGGGTGGGAAGTAACCAATTGACACTAATTTAGATCTGCAAGCCTTTTCCATTCCTTTGCTGTTCTGTGCCATAAAGTCGGAGCTGACTTATAGCCACCCTAACAGGGCTTTTAAAGTCAGTGAGATACTGGTTCTTAACCTTGGGTTACTCAGGAGTTTTGGACTGCAACTCCCAGAAGCCTTCACCACCAGCTGTCCTGACTGGGGTTTCTGGGAGTTGTAGTTCAAAAGCATCCGAGTAACAAAGGTTAAGAACCACTGAGATACAGTATTTAAGGAATGGCTTTACCAGCTCTATTTCCCGGAGTGAGTTCCAGTGGCTGCAAACAAACAAACAAACTCCCAACCTCTGGCTCCACAGCCAGATACATAATTGACTCAGCTATTCAGATGGGGGTGGGGTGGGAAGTAACCAATTGACACTAATTTAGATCTGCAAGCCTTTTCCATTCCTTTGCTGTTCTGTGCCATAAAGTCAGAGCTGATTTATAGCCACCCTAATAGGGCTTTTAAAATCAGTGAGATATTTAAGGAATGGCTTTACCAGCTCTATCCCCCCAGTGAGTTCCAGTGGCAGAGTGGAGATTCAAACCCTAGTCCCCAGAGTCCTAGTCCGTCACTCTATCCACTGGGTTTAGGTGGTGGTGGTGGTGGTGGGGAACAGATGCACAAATGCCCGCTGGAGGCATTCAAGAGAAAAATTGGACAATCATTGTTCAGATCTGCTTTGATTTGGATTCCTGCGCTGCGAGGAAGGTTGGACTCCATGGCTTTAGAACAGGCCCTTTCCAACTCCATCATTCTTCTGTGACCAATATGGGTGACAGCTGACTTGACCAGAAGAACACAAGTAAAGGGTCTTGGGCTTAGCAGGCCACAAGCTAAACAGGAACCTGCAGAAGTTGTTTCCTGTTTAAGACAAAGAATGCAAACAACTGTAAACAGGTGTTGCCAATGGTGGTTGTCTTGTGCTCTGGATTCTGGGTTCTACCATATGGCATCAAAAGTGGACATTGTTTAGAAGAAGTTCTAAGACTAGGTTACTATAAATTGGGTGAATTGGGAACAACAGAAATCATGAATCAAACCCCTTCATTTCCATCAGTATCTGGAAACCAGACCCCCTTACTGCAAACCCAGCATGGTCTTTCTCCATCATGAGCCACTTCGGAGTCGGTGTGTCTTACAGTAAGTTCTATTGCGCAGTTCCTTTTGAAGCAGGATGTCGTCCACCTTTCCGCACTCCAGAGTTTGAGTAGTTTCTCCTTCTGTCACCTCCACGTTTCCCCGCCTTGATTACACACCAAACATCTGGTGCACACACAGAGCTGTGCACAGATGTCAGAGATCCCGAGCTGATAAACCCCCCGCAGGAGGCCTGCGGCACGCGGGATAGCAAGGGTCCTTTTCACCTAGAAACACAATCAGGGCTGACGATGAAGAATCCCGTGATTTTCACGGTGAAGAGAGAGGAGGAGGAAGGAGGAGGCGCTAGTAAAGAGCGTTATCAGAGGGGCAGAAACCTGGACGTCCCTAATACACGTGAAGCGCATTCTAACGTTCAGGGAGGGTTGCCGCCCCAGGAAGCCCCATCCCTCTGCGCCTGAAGCCGAGACCCTCTTGGCCCTGCCCTGCCCTCCCCTCCGCCCCAAGGGCAAGGCGCCCCTCCCTCCTCTTCCCCACGGCCGCCCTGGGGGTTGGGGGGCTGGCTCTCGCCCGCCCCCTGCCCGGCTTTTCCGGCCAGGGGAGGCGCCTCGCTCCAGGGCAAGGGAGAGGCAGGAAGGGTCGCCTTTTCCTGATTCCCTGAAGCCGAGACCCTCTTGGCCCTGCCCTGCCCTCCCCTCCGCCCCAAGGGCAAGGCGCCCCTCCCTCCTCTTCCCCACGGCCGCCCTGGGGGTTGGGGGGCTGGCTCTCGCCCGCCCCCTGCCCGGCTTTTCCGGCCAGGGGAGGCGCCTCGCTCCAGGGCAAGGGAGAGGCAGGAAGGGTCGCCTTTTCCTGATTCCGGCAGCGGCCACACAACTGCCCCCCCCCCCGCAGCCATCAAGGTCCCTCGACGGAGCCCCGATGGCCGGAGCAGCAGCAGCAGCAGGAGGGAGCGCAGCCACCGGGTGGGGGGCGCCTCGGGCTCCGGGGCAGGGTCTCCTCCTGGGCGGTGGTGACCACCATTCCTGCTGGTGCGGAAGCTGCGGGTGACCGAGGAGAGGGAGCGGGACCCCCCTCGCCAGGCCGGCTCTGCCCCACTTCGCTCCGGGCTGGTCCCCGCGGAGTTGGGGGTCCAGAAGCCCCAGGTAGGTGCGGGATCAGGGGACAGCCCTGTAGCTTTGGGACAGAAGAGGGAACCCTGGTGAGGTTTTCTTCCCCCCCCCTTCCAAAAAGGACAGCCCCTTTCTCCTCTCTCTCTCCCCCAGCGACGAAAAGAAAGGTACTTTTCTCCCTCCCTCCCAAAACTGGGGGAGGGGAAGGATGCGGTGGGGTCGGGGCTTAAAATCTTCCAGGGAGGAGTGGGCGCAAGGGAGAGGACTGAGGCGCAGCTGGAAGCCTTTGCCTTAAGCTCTCTGGCCGAGGAGACTGGCTGATGATGGCCTTTGGGGAGGGGGCAAACTCTGCCCTTCCTGGCTGATGAGGAGCCCTGCTGGGCGTGGAAGCTGGCCCCACTGAGGATTCCTGGCAGGGGCCCATTCAGCTGCTGGCCTGCAGCCAGAACTGGGCACACGACCTAGGGTTGAATCCCAGGTAGCTCTTCACTCATCCTTCCCAGGTCAATAAAATGAGGACCCAACTTAATAGGGTTGCCTGCGTGATCAACTTGTAAAATCACCCAACCAGTGTTTTAAGCGCTATGGGGCAGCTTTTGGCTTTTTCTGTAGATTGACGAAGCTCTAAAGCCTATCCTCCTTTTGAAATCAGTGTGTGGGGCAGCCCCATTCCCTCCTGTTCACTAGAGCGGCTTCTGCACATTATGCATGAGGAAGGTGGGAAAGGTCACGATGACCTTTGAAGGCTTGGCCAGAGGGCAGGAACTTTACCCCACTGTGGACTAGCTCCCTGACTCAACAAAACCTTCCCAGATCTCTCCCTCCCCCCACCCCGGCTCAGTATGGAGGAAGCGCTAAAGAACTAAAAACCTTGCACATTTTAATCGCTTACGTGCTGTTGGTCCTAATTAAAGTGTTGCCCATTTGCAGAGGGGAGAATTTAGATTGTGTAGGTTTTCCGGGCTGTTTGGCCGTGTTCTTAATTTAGATTTTGTTTCGTTCCTTGGACGTTCCTTTCTTTTTCTTTTTTCTTTTCCTAAGGTGAGGCACAGGAACTTCTTTTTCTTGGCTGGAACGAAACCTGAAAGGGAGAAATCCCTAGTCCCCTGGTGGTTTTGAATATGGCTGGGGTGTGATATATCCATTATTTGGGGTTCCATTAAGCCCAATCCCATGTATTGGGGGGGGAGAGAAAGGGAAACCCGCCTCTCTTGATACATTTTCCTTCCTGGAACTACTAGGAAAGGCATAGAGACATTTCTGGCTCCCCTCTTTTAACCCAATATAATTTTAGATAAAAATGAAGTGGAAATGCTTAATGGTTCACCGTCAAGGATCTGGAAAAGCAAGTACTTTTTTTAAAGCCTGTGTTGTTATTAAGAGACTTGCTGTTTACCGCAATTTATTTGTTTGTTTGTTTATTTATTTATTTAATTTATACCCCGCCTATCTGGTCGGTGAGGACCACTCTAGGCAGCTAACAACAATAAAATACAATAACAATATAAATAAGCAATTCTAATTAGTAAAAACACTACAATACATTACATAGAGTGCAAAACAGAAACAGTAAAGTGGGAAGAAGGAGGTCAAGAGGAATATGATGGAAAGGCCTGCCCAAGAGAGGCAAGAGAGGCTACATCCATTTAATCTCAAGACTAAACACCTAGAGAATGAGGATTCTTGATCAAGGCTCTTCCCTCCCATCATGTTCCACCTTAAAGTCATGCGTCTTTATTTGGTGTAAGCTTTCATCAAGCACCACCCACTTCTTGGGATGTCTCTCAATACCAACTACACTCAGTGCACCTGAAGAAAACACACTGGGGTCCATAAAGGTTATGCCATTTCATTCATATATTTTTGCCCTGTCTTTCTGAATAGGACCCAAAGCGGCTTACAAACAACGAAAGACAATATTTAAAGTTGAAAACACTAAGTGTACGGTGGTGGTTAACATCATTAGAAGATAATATTTAAAACTATGAACAATGAATAAAAAGGGACTGTGAAGGGTCGTGTGATTGGGCTTCCCTTGTCTTCAATAAAACACCGTTAGACGGTTTATCAAACAACTTGTGTTCATTTATTGCTTCACCCAACGGGGGTTTTAACCTTAACATGTTTGTTTAAACTTAGACTCTTGTTCAAGCAACGGCTCTCGCAAGGGCAACAGAAAGCTTTCTTCCAGAACGTTTCCCAAACTCTGGTCCCACGGACCGGCACAAACTTGTCCTTGACCCCTCAGTTCCCAAACTGTGGTCAGTTGCACTTAGAAGCATGAGGGTCTCTTCATCTCCCGTCCATCCCCAGGATGGGTCTCCTTCTCTTGCCGATTCCCCCCAAGGTCCAGGAAGCATCCCATCTTCCTCAGTTCTTCTAAATGCCATGCCCGTCAAGCCTCTCTTTCTTTAGCAATGGCCTCCTGCTGTTCCCTAATCTTTCTTCTCCATTCACGCATCTCGGTTTCACCCCAATACAATGGCCTTTGGGGTAATCCCTTCTTCCTCCGATCCTCCGCTTCAGCTTTAGGCACCCGGACTTGTTCCCATTTTCCCGTCCACGGGTCCTGCAACCATATCCATTCCCAACCTCCAGGAATGATATCCTGTTCTGTCTTCACTTCCCCCAGCCCCTCTTCTTCCACCACCTCCTTCCTTCCCGCCAAATCTTCCTTAAAAGGCTTAGATATTATTAACCCTTTCCAGCTCTCGGGTATCCACTGCCTTTGACACCCCTTTCCCTTGTGGATATGCCTCTAAATCATGAGTGTCTGAACTTTGATCTCTTTTACGACTTAGGGTAGTCGGTGGACTAGTCTGAGTTTGTTTAGAAGTCTTTATGAGAGATGGCTCGACCAGAAAGACCCGGTACTTCTGGTCTTTCCCTTCTCAGGGACCTTACAGCATCAACAGGCAATATTAAGGCAAAGATCAATATGTATACCCGCCCCCCCCCAAAATGTCATTGAGAAAAATGGAAAACAAAAATGGAAAACGCAAGAAGTACTAACAATCCAGTCAAAGCAATAACACATAACATTCTATCTAAAAAAATCGCACACATGTAGCTGGTTTACTGAGGGAAGGCGTGCCTGAAGAGCATGGTTAATTACTTAAAATATGAAACTAGTGAGATGTCAGTGGTTCCACTGCCACCTGTAGAAATGTCAGCCTGGTGAGCACGATTATTTTAGTATGTATCTTGTATTTTGTAAAAATATTTTGTTAAAGATTTAATTTTTTAACCTTTCTCTCTTTCTGTTTTTAAGGATGGTGTTGGTCGCTTTAGCTGTGCTGGTCCTAAGATACAGGCGACGATGGATGACAGCAGCCTAGGAGAACAGCAGACCAGGCCTTCCTGGACATTCATGACCCTCAGACCCCGGTTCTGGGACCAGTATTTGGTGCATGCTGGGCAATGCCGCAGAGACAGCTGTTTGCAGCCATCCTGCCAGGACACAAAGCGGCTTGTCCAGCATCTTCAGGCCTGCAGATATAACAACCTTGAGGACTGCCAGCTTTGTAATCAGCTGATCACCATCTGCTATGTCCACGCCCAACACTGCAAGGAGGACCACTGTCCAGCTCCCTTCTGTCTCGCCATCAAGCCTCAGCTCCTGAAGATGCCGATGTGGCTACTGCCGGCAAAGGTGAAGCACGGCAAGATGGTGGCCATGAGCACCGCTCGAGCACAAAGGGTGAGCCGGTCTGTAGGGGCTGCAAACGCTGCGTGGCAGACTGGCATGAACGCCCAGAGGCCTGGGTGTGTGAATGGCCCGATCATGTCCAACATGCAGCCGGAGCCGCGTCCTTTTGCAGCGCCCTTCCCGCAAATGGGGCACGGTTTGAGGCTGCCCAGCACGCAGCCACCGCCCTGCACCATCCCCTGGAGTGTTATGTCCTTTTTAAGGAGGACCATGAAATCCTTCAGGTTCCCAGAGGAGAAAGCAGGAAGTCTCAGCCCACGTTAGACCTGCCCTCAAAACATGCCTTCAGCCACAGCCTGGCTTGCAAAACCCTTTTAGCTGCCACTGCTGCCACCACAATCGCCACCAGACTAGCACCCTCCACCTGTCTTGCAGGACACCATGTGATGCAGAAGGGCCCTTGCGTCTGACCAGGAAACACAACTTCGGGGAGGGGGGAACTAGTAGCCTGAACACCGACGACTGCAGCTGGTGGCCAGGATCTCTTTAATGCTACAACAGACTGCTTTCTCCAACCCTGATCCCTCTAGGAAACCACCACAGCCGCTGAGCAGCCTGAGGACACCCTAGTTCACAGCCACTTACCCATCACCAGCTCATCTCCCATGCAGGCGAACTCGAAATTTTCCCCTTCCGTTTCAGTGGCACATCAGCTTCCCCCAGAAACGGAACAGTCTCATAAGTAGGACTCTGCAGGGTTAGAAGCTAAGGTTTGTTTCCCGGGTCATCAGGAATTATCATTTCGGCTGTTGGATTTGCAGCCGTCCTACAGCAACTAGCAGCCTGAGTGTTCGCCAGGCTCACTCTGTTCAGTAGCAAATCCACTTGCTGGGGCAGTAATGGCAGCCGGCCCCCCATTCTTGCCTTGGATAGTGAATGAGGTGATGACTAAGCTTTCACCTTCCACCGTTTTTGTGATGTTTAGCCTACACCCATGCTGGGGAAAACAGAAAGCTTAGGAAGTCACTCTGTGGAAGACGGCCAGGAAATTAGGCACCATCCTGAGGTTGCTGGACTATAATATACCATGAGTCCCAGCTAGCATTTCCAATGGTCGAGGATGATGTGAAGTGAAATTCAAGGTATCTGCAGTGGCCTACTCTTACTCTTGAGAATGCTTATTTGGTTATATGTTGCTATCGCCTTGGGAGAAGGCTAGAAGTCTGGATCTGATCTCTCAGTCTGCAAACTGTTGTAGTTGATAAGGAAATGCTTCCTGTAGTTCTTTTTCAAATAAAGAATCGTTCCATTTTTCCTCGTGTTTGTTGTTGTTTAATCATTAAGTCGTGTCCGACTCTTCTTGACCCCATAGACCAGAACATGCCAGGCCCTCCTGTCTTTCACTGCCTCCTGGAGTTTGGTCAAATTCCTTGTGTTTACTTGTGATTTTATTCAGGCTGATACTTTCTGGGTATCCAGGTGTCAAAAAAAGAGGACTAAGTTGGGAGCTACGGAAGGGAGAAGGAGCAACAATGGGTTCTCGCTTTGATTCAGCTTTTCTTTAGTCATGGAAACGAGATCTGGTATTTCCAGAGGCAGATGTTCTGTAAGGGATCGCAGACAGAGGAACCCTTAACTCCTTTAACTGAAGTTTAGATCTCACAGGCATGGAATTGTCAGGGAAGGATGAGGGCAAAGTCCACATAAACAAGTTCCCAAGTCCTATCCCAGCCTAATATCCAGTGTGTGCTGTGAATCTTTTGTGCTGTCAAGTTGGAACTGACTCAAAGTGACCTAATATGGGCATTCAAGGTAAGAAAGATACCTAAAGAATAGTTTTACCAGTTCCACTCCCCCAGTGAGTGTCCATGGCTGAGCGCGGTTTTGAACCCTGTTCTTGAGAGTCCTTGTCCATCACCCTATCTGCTACATCACACTGTGAATTTAGTAGGGACCCTTTATTAAGTTCTCCAGGTAGTTATTTCTCTGTACCTTATAACCTATGAAGAAAGTGAAGACAGGCAACTTTAAATATGAGCACATTGCCTTTTGGGGGTCTTAACTTCCACTCCATGTAAACAGGTGTGAACGCCACTCTTTAAGTTTCTAAAGTGTGATGAGGGGACCCTGCTTCTGTCACACTAAGCTCATTAAAGATTATGAGACTTTTTCTCATCAAATGCTAGTCAAGAGGATCAGCCTATTGACGACACCCTAACCATGGATGAAGTGACATTCCAAATTTTATTTCTGAATTTCCTTAGCTAGGGAGCAGGAGGGTTATATAGCCACTATATTTGCTTTCCCATACCTGAAAAACTGCCTAAGCTGTTGCCTGCTGGCTGAACTATCCTTTGGAGAACTGAATGAATGGAACTTATCCTTCTGTCTGGGAGATGAGGTCTGGTTTTCTGGATGCTCTCAGAGAGACAGATGTGCTGGTTGGATGTCTTGCTACAAAATCCTCTGATCAACTACACGCCTTTCTTTGACTCCCTTGCAGATGAAAGCACAGTTTACATGTTCCGCGTACACTGTATACCTGCCCATATCCACCTTGACATCTGGAGACCCACAGTGAAAAGTGTGAGGAACAGAGATTCATCTGTTTATCACCACTGCTTAACCGAAGGCTGGGGGATCATTATTCTCCATGTGAAACCTCCAGTTTGGATCCAGGATGCCCCACTTCGCCTGGGGGAAATCCACAGCCAGCCGGCGCTTTGTAGAACACCAGCTTCAAGGAAAGGGAGAAAAACATATTCCCCTCACGGACCATCTTTCCTACTTTATTCCCACTTTGGAGCAAAAAGCCAGATAATTTTGCACCCCCAGCATCTTGCAGAAACAAAGGAAAAGGATGGAGGGATTATTTCAAAATCTTCAGTCCGCATAAACCTGGACACGTTTTCTGGACTTCCCACTCCTCCCCCAACATCCAATTTCCTACCATTTACTCCTGAAGATGTTTTGGGGAATCTCCAGTGCACCCTGGTAGCTCAGATGTGTAAGCAGGGTGGGGATGTAGTCATCTTGTGGACACGTCCTCTCCCGGCACCCACCAAAGTCAGAAGGAAGGACAGTTTCCAGGCTAAACATTTAAGTCAATTGTCAGGATCTATTTTCATCCCTGAAAGAAACATCTGACCAGCCCAAACCGATCCGAGTAAATTAGTAGACGGATCATGGCACAACTTTTTTCTGTCTGACCATGGAAGTTTCCCTGAACAGCGGAACAGGGCTGGATCCAGACCCAGACTCTGAGGCTTCAGTAAGGCACTCCAGATATTAGAGGAAGTGGCTGGTGGTGTTTCAAAATAAATCTTCAGTCTTCCAGGTGCCTCCATGTCCTTTTTTGTAATGCTGATCAGATCCAATCCCAGTTATCTCTTTGAGTAGCTCAGGAATGAAAAGTGCCTGTTTGAACTGGAGAAAACCTTTTGAAATACTTTTTTTCTGCTGGAGAAATCCCCCGCCCAACCAAGAATAATCATTTATCAGGTGACACACCTTTTGGTGAGGTAAGTGAGTCCGTGTTAATAAACACCTCTGCCCAGCAGCTCCACTGGCTATCTGTCAGTTTCTGGGCACAATTCAAAGTACTGGTTTTCACTTATAAAGCCCTAAACAACTTAGGTCCAAATTACTTGAAGTACCTCATTTCCCTTAACCAGCCTGCTTAAAATAATCAGGTGAAGTCTCTCTCTCTCTCCCTTTCTCTTTCTCTCTCCCTCTCTAAAGTACCTTAGGTCCTCTAGAGCAGTGGTGTCGAACTGTGGCCCTCCAGATGTTCTTGGACTTCAACCCCCAGAAGCCTTCCCCACCACCTCTGCTGGCCAGGATTTCTGGGAGTTGAA